TACACTCAAACCCGTGAAACAAAGTGTGCAATAATTTGTAATACACAAGACAAAGAAAGGTATTTCACGAATTTACAAAAGGCACAGTCTTTAAATTACGGACATTATAGTATTTTTATTATAACCAATTCTTTGTTTTACGCTATTTTACAGCTCAAAAGGATAAAAAAGCCAAAATGACCGAAGGCTTTACACAAAATGGAAAAGACGATGAAAACGGCGTTGGCGATGCTGATGACGAACTACCCGACGTCCCTCCGAGTGTTCGCCGACAGAGTGACTCTATCAGCATAAACAGTTCAAAGAGCGGTGGAAGTAATCATGTCGACACGCCGCTTTCAAAACGTGGCTCTTCGCCCCTATAGTTCCTGATTCGTTGATTTCGTGGATGTTTTGAGTTAAAGCAGAATGCTCAGCTTTCTTTTTCCGCTATGTAAACATGTGTAAATATTGAGTATTTCATCAGAGCTCAGATTGAACATGACTGCAATATCTGATGGACCATGATTTTTGTTTTGAAGAAACCACCATAACATCTTCCAAGTCGACAAGCGACTCATATGCATGAGTTTATCTGACATTAAATCCCTAAATCCGTGAAAAAAGATTATACTTATTAGCAACAAATTATCRCTAATCAGAAAATAGAAAGCAAAGGATTTAGTATTGAAATGAGTCTTAATTAAAGTACTAATTAATCTTGAACGTCGGATATATCGGCGYTCGTTAGTGTAGAAAAACACTGTATATACCACACAGGACTTCCTATCACAGCGTGGTACAGTATGGAACCAATATCGCTTCTTCCAGTTATCCAGGAAATGTTCCTGGAAAAATTATACTGTAGTTTGTGCACTATGATCAAGCACRTAATTAATATAAACAGCATTAATTTACTAGCCTTACTAGGCTGTTGCAAGGTTCGATGGCATTAAAAGCAAGCATAATCTTCATTTTAACAGAATATTGGTTGGTTGTAAGTCCTCCAGGCCCCGTCCACACGTATCCACAACAGAAATCTCCGGACACACTATGAACGGTCGCACACGGTACGTCTTGACGCAGATCATCCAGTCTCTGGAGTCGTGAGGACGGGGCCTGTACCAGGACTTATAGCAATGTCGCACTATAGTTTAGTAAATATTGACTGATAGTATTTTTTCATTAAAAAATTACTTAATCTTAGAAAAATGTGAAGTATCTTAGGTGTTGTCTGTAGGGCGTGGTTTATAAAGGAAAACAAGCGCGTAGAAGGAAAGCCCTTTTACCGGCAGGCGAAAATCAGAAAATGGAGATAAAATCAGCAAAGAAAATCCTTCCTTTATTGCTTCAGTCTTGATTCCTTCTCGAGAGGTATTGTCTTCATCAATGACACCACCCTCGAATTATCAGTGACGTCACACTTAACTTATACTTGAAGAAAAGCTTTATTACGAGCGAGGAACGACTGACCTGCAATCTCTAGGTTTCCAAAGAGAAGTTTGTCTATCCAGAACATGCGTCCATTGGAGAGAGTAAATGAACAGATAGCTGTATATATTTCAAAATTTATTCATTAAAATATATCTCTATATTAATGCTTCTACATTGTTCTACGGGTAAAATATGAGATTCTACTAAACGAGTTAATTCATCCTCGATWCCCAGGAAACAAACGACAACGCTGGGTTCCGGAGGATGGTAACGAATGCATCGATTATAATTTTCAGCCGCGGTTACGAATAAGATATAAGTGTGGTTGATATGGTCACCCTTCCATCTACCTATACAGTGCCTATTTCATTTTCTAATATTCTAAAATCATGCGTAGAGAGAGATGATTTTGAATTTCAGGTACAAAATCGAAAAATCGTTTTCAGGGAAAATAGCTTTGATCTCAACATAGGAAGCCCGATTCCAATCTTTCATTTACAGACAGTGAATTGTTAATAATTGCAATCGCAATATTGTTTGATTACGTGAGGAATTAGCCTTTGAGTTTGTATATAATGTTGCCCAGCAGTTGCCATATACTTGTGAACGAGGGACGATCCTCTTCCCTGTAAATGAACGAATGAATGAATGAATGAAATAACAACAGCGACAGCAACCACACATGGACATAGAGAGAAAAAATGGAAAAGGAACGAGACGATGAGTTGAGCGACAAAAGGAAGGGAGAAAACAAACGGGGAAGGAAATGAGAAAGGCGGAAAAGGTAGGAAATGTGAAGAAAACTTTGTAGGAACAGAAAAGGTGCAAAGATATAAAGGAAGATGCCAGGAAGGAAGACCAAATAACTTACTGGTATTCCCAACAGTTTTTCATAATCTTGTACACTTCACTTGGTACGTGCATAGGACATGGCAATCTGTATCCATTCTCCAGTTTTTGGATGATTATTTGTCCATTCATTCCCTAAAAAATATTAAATAAATTCAATAYCGTTCAAAATAGACCTTTGGATAGAAGCATCCATATAAATCTAGATAATGATTATGTTTTCTTGCCAATGTAATAATAATAATAATATTTAATATTTATATTGCGCATGTTCTATAAAATATTCACATGTGCATAACTACATGATAGTATACATATAATAATAGACATAATATGAAAATTTAAAAGATAAACTAAAAATGATATTTAAAAAATGCTGATTTAAATAAATGTAATCATGCAGCAACAGTTTTTGGTACTTATTTTTCAGATACATGTACTTCTTCTGATGACAAAACCTTTACTTGATATTTGGAAAGATCTTATAAAACCTATATGACCCATAACACACAATATTCAATTTTTATTTGCCTGGTACGGTCGGGCACCATAGGATGTCGCTTCCCATAATGTAACACCATAGCTCCACACGTCACTTTTACTGGAAAACTTCCTAAAGTAGATGCATTCAGGGGCATACCATTTTAGGGGCCATTTTCCAGGAGTTTCTGCCTGAAATTTTAAAATAATTGACAACATTATAAAGTGCAGAATCACAAAAATAAAATGAAACACTGATGTATTAATATAAATAGTTTTCTTAATGAAAGTGACAGTTTTGCAAGTTTTGCAGTTTGCAAATTCCAGAGTATATGTGATAACAATGTTGCTATGAATGAAGAGATTTTCCAGTAAGTGTTTTTTACCCTRTAATAATCACTGCCTGATCCCATAGCACGTGACATGCCAAAGTCACTTATCTTTACAAAACTTTCATTCACAACAAGAACATTCCTTGCTGCTAAATCACGATGTACAAATTGTTGGGCTTCCAGATACTGCATTCCCTGAATAGGTAATATGACAAAATTGTCAAGAGTTTTGTAAATTCAATAGACCTAACCAAGTYTTAGCTTAGTTTTAATGTATTGCTAATGTCAGCACTAAAGTCAAAGCCTTTTGGAATAAAAAAAATTACATGTATGCAGGTCTACACTGTAGGTAACTAATACAATAATGAATTTTAAGCATATTAAAAGAAAATCAAAAATAAGAGTGATGTTGCTTGAATTATGTTTATTTACTGACCGTTTCAAAAATGGCTGACTTACCTCTGCTACTTGTAACATGAGAATAAGGATATTCAACATTTCCATTTGCCTGTATACAAATAAAACRTTCAAATGCACAAATTACTTGATAATTACTATTATAATTTTATATTATTTGAAAGTGTGTCTTACTTGTTCTTTTTGAGATATTTATTGAGAGGTCCTTCAGCAGCCAACTCCATGACAAGCATCATTGTAGGTGCTGTACACATGCCTATGTAAAGTTGACAGAAATTCATTACTTCTACTTTTTGAAGTGTTACTGTGGGCACCTTACAGTTATCCATTCTCCTATCTCTAATCCCTCAAACAACCTTCTTCTGACTAGTTTTTCATTTGTTTTTTGACAATTCATTCATTGTTAAAATTATTATACTTTGTTTGACAAACTTTACCTATGATTCTCACRATGTAWGGATGGTCTAGTTTCATCATGACCTTTGCTTCATGCATWATTTCWGACTAAAATATRAATAAAAAACAWTGAGAAATGTATGAAAGATTAATGAATGAACAAAATAAATGGATGATTGAATGAAAAATAAGAGAATAATAACTAGAAACCTTTGGATTGTTTAGTTCTTCAGACTTCAATCTTTTCACTGCAACTGGTATCTTTTCACCATTAGGCATTTGATAGGTTCCCTTCAGAACTGAACCAAAATTGCCATGACCTGAAGGACACCATAAACTCTATTGTCAGTTAGTTGTATTTCCTTTTACTGTACATAAATTATCCTATCACCATAGTTATTTCATCTGGGCCACTTATCATGCAGCTCATACTAGTCTAAAGAGCTGCTACACAATTTATAGTCATCAGACACAGAAATTCATTTCATTATAGCAGCTTGCATATCTATGGTCATTACTGTACGTTCAAAACAATCTGCTTAATACATTATAACATTGCAATGTGTCATTTTCTTACCAAGTTCTTTTCCAAGAGAGAGACTATCACTATTAAGATTAAATGATTGATTCTGGACAGACTTGAATTGGTTCACGTATCCTGAGCTTTTCTTGAGTTTTACAGAGTCATAAATAGTCTCAAAATTAGATGCTGASCCAGCTCCTATAATATAAAGAGTAATTATTGACAAAGTTTATAAAGAGTACACTAAAAGTACAATGTGATTTGAACATGATTTATCAAATATGTACTGATTTAGGTCCACACTTGCCTGGCTCGTTTGGTAAAAGCTGACGATGACCTGAAGGTAAAGATGATGGATTTCTTGGACTTCTTGGTCCTGGGCTAACTGGGGGAGCCATACGCACAGCTGTCAATCAAGACAATAAATGTAATTTACAATTAATAACAGAAATTAATAASTACAATGTAAAATGGCTCTCATGGTAAGTTGAAAATGTTGAAAACTTTGAATAACATTGAGCTCACTTACTGGGTGATCTTGGTGTTGTATCATTTTCACCAAATGATCTACTTGCTGGTCGTCCAGGAAACTGGAACTCTGGGCGTGGCAAAGTCCTACGCCGACTTTCGAACAGTGAAGCATCACAGGGTTCCTTAAGATTATACAAAAGCCCATCATTGTGCAAGGTGTAGTGATCAATAGCAAGCATCAAGTTTTCAAACTTTGGACCAGACTGAATTGACAACTGTCCAGTTNTTAAACAAACCTCATCTCCAATAGCTATCAAATTACCTCTTAGTTTTGAGTTCTTCCGTGCAATCAAAGAATTATTCAAAGTATTGGTTGCGCATCAGAAGAACGTAACTGCTCACATCTTCGCTTCATTAGCTTGACATTTTATATGACCGATTTATCACCAGTAGATTCGCTCTGATTGCTAGGTTTTCAATATAGACCTTGGATTTAAGGTTCAACGATGGCGTCTGTGAAGTTTAAAGCTTTTTCAAACAAATTAAGCCAAGTAAAACATGAAAGAATCCTGTCTTGTTTTCTTCACTTCAGTGAACTTTCGAACCTCACTTCCTGCACACGAGAGGCTGCTAAGCTTACATATAAGAAAGATTTTCATTGGTTACAAATGTATAACTAATAACTGACCAATAATAACTGTTGATATAAACATATCAACATGGAGGGGCATGTGAAGTGCACTATGTTTGCAAAGAAATCATGACTGAAAAGCAGGTTTGAAACGTGTTGTTTTTACATTGTAAGAAAGTGAATGGACTTTATAGCATTTTCTGTTTTTAATTTGTAAAAATCAACTCATTAGCTGCAGTTTTAGTAGTACAGTTTTTGCAAGATCAAAAAATCTTTTAACTTTTTAAAATACTCGTCCTATTGGTGTTCTGTTACAGGGACAGCGACAAGATCACGAAGTCTGTTACTGTGGGATTTCTAAGGACAGGTTTGAAAGTTTCATTGTTTTGTTTTTCAAATCACGTGTCATATAATTACATTGCCAATTTTCTGTAAACATTTTTTGTTTAATTTTTATTTTCAGTGACTTACTTCAATGCAGCTCATGTAGAAAGCAATTCCACTTGGGTAATATGCAAAAAAAAAAAACAAATAAGATATCAATTTCCACCAATAAATGATGTTGCTTGACTGTTAGGTTGTTTGGCGACTGGACGTCCAAGCCCACTTGCTGGAGATATCTATTTTGACTTGACRTGCAAGGATTGTGGGAAAGATGGCCAGGAAATATGCAAAAGAGCCCACATTAGTTGGTAGGGAATGCTGTGTGAATTGCTTGAATTGGGCTACCTGTGTGTTGTTTCCACAGGTAGCCCAAATGGTAGGTGTCAATGTGATGTATTTACTCAAATAGTAATGACTTATGCCTTGATTTGTTTAGGATGCAAACAGTTTACCTGGCATTGTACAACTTAGCCATGACAAGCAGTGGTAGAAAAGGCTACTTTAGATGGAAAGAAGATATCTGCCAGTTTATTGACAGAAACTGGTCATTGCTCTTGCCTAAAAGGTAATTTCACCATGAACTGTCATGGGGAGTGAATGGAAGGGGGTGCATACTGTCTGAATTTTTTTGTCAACCTAAGATTATCTTTTGGTTGTCTAGGAAAAGAACGACAGCATGGTACAGTACTGTTGCTGGGACACTTTCTTCAGGATGCCCACAGTTTTTTAAGTCAGGTCAAACAGAGTTCAAGGAGACAGGCTGGTGGTCTTTACAAGAGAAAGTGGCCCCTGCTGACAAAATGGGAAGCCCAGGTATAYRATTCATCCGAATCAATCACTCAGTCRGTCAGTCAATAATTATCAAAGTTCAGCCTATCATTGATCAGTCTGTCCATTAATTAATCAATCAATCAGTCAATCAATCTTATTTTAAAAATCTGTGTGAAGGGGCAGACAYTAAAAAGAAAAAGGCTTTCAGTAAAGGAGCCAACAAAAGGTCGGCAGATCCTTTAGATGTTGAAAAAGATGTTTGKGAAGTGGTAAAAAAGACCAAGGTAATCTATATTGACCAATGTGATCCAATATGATCCAATGTGATCCACGTCTAGATCTCAATAAGTATCCTAAACAATTCTTTTATTGGCTCAATAGAGRTTATTGTTTATTTGCCACTAGGAASAAGAGAATTCMGAGCCCTTGAAAGTGGTGAAAGAGACAAGTGACCTTGAGGTATTGCCTGCTGCTGCCATGGAAACAGATTCTGATGATCTTATTGCAAGACTGCTCAGAGATGATGAAGGGAGATCTCTGGATGATGTGTACTTCCCTTTCATGGAGATGGACGAACCTTTTGCCTTGATTTCTGAAGACAAAGAAAGTTTTAATGATAGTTTGACAGAAGAATCACTAGAAATGGAATCAGAAACTTCAGCAAGCACACAGAATGAAAAAGACTCTAAAACAAGCTATCTTCAAGAGGAGGAAAAAGAACTAGTAGAGAAAAGTGACAATGAATCCATTGCTTCTACCGTAAAGTCAGACACAAAAAGAACAGCAAAGAGCAAACAGAGTAAAGAGCAAGAAATCTCTTCTACTGTAAAGGAAAGCAGGTTAGTGATCTCTCAAGGAAAGTCATGTTTTGGCATTCTTTCTTTATTTTTCCCATTACGCAACCTGCCCTTGTATGCTCCATTCCATCTGATAAAAATACATTTCTCTCTCATCACTGCATTTTTTTACTTTAAACTTTTTAGTTTGTCAATGGTGTCAGAAGCAGACGAGCATGAGATGCTGTGCCGTTTAAATGCTTGCGCTGAAGCCAATCAAGACGACTGCACTGCGAGGCGCCTGCGCAGAAAGCTAATCCTAAGAAAGGCATGTAGTGTCCTGTAAATCTTCATTTCTACAAGCCTCCTATTGCTTGCCCTATCCCAACCTCACCTAGATATGTCTAGCATTCTTTCATAACTTCATAGATACAAATTAAGTTACTTTATGTGCAATAACATTCAATACAATCNTGACCAATGTGATCCAATATGATCCAATGTGATCCACGTCTAGATCTCAATAAGTATCCTAAGCAATTCTTTTATTGGCTCAATAGAGGTTATTGTTTATTTGCCACTAGGAAGAAGAGAATTCCGAGCCCTTGAAAGTGGTGAAAGAGACAAGTGACCTTGAGGTATTGCCTGCTGCTGCCATGGAAACAGATTCTGATGATCTTATTGCAAGACTGCTCAGAGATGATGAAGGGAGATCTCTGGATGATGTGTACTTCCCTTTCATGGAGATGGACGAACCTTTTGCCTTGATTTCTGAAGACAAAGAAAGTTTTAATGATAGTTTGACAGAAGAATCACTAGAAATGGAATCAGAAACTTCAGCAAGCACACAGAATGAAAAAGACTCTAAAACAAGCTATCTTCAAGAGGAGGAAAAAGAACTAGTAGAGAAAAGTGACAATGAATCCATTGCTTCTACCGTAAAGTCAGACACAAAAAGAACAGCAAAGAGCAAACAGAGTAAAGAGCAAGAAATCTCTTCTACTGTAAAGGAAAGCAGGTTAGTGATCTCTCAAGGAAAGTCATGTTTTGGCATTCTTTCTTTATTTTTCCCATTACGCAACCTGCCCTTGTATGCTCCATTCCATCTGATAAAAATACATTTCTCTCTCATCACTGCATTTTTTTACTTTAAACTTTTTAGTTTGTCAATGGTGTCAGAAGCAGACGAGCATGAGATGCTGTGCCGTTTAAATGCTTGCGCTGAAGCCAATCAAGACGACTGCACTGCGAGGCGCCTGCGCAGAAAGCTAATCCTAAGAAAGGCATGTAGTGTCCTGTAAATCTTCATTTCTACAAGCCTCCTATTGCTTGCCCTATCCCAACCTCACCTAGATATGTCTAGCATTCTTTCATAACTTCATAGATACAAATTAAGTTACTTTATGTGCAATAACATTYAATACAATCAATTATTCATGAAAAAAGGTRGTAATCCAGGAAAGAGTGTTGATCAATCTGTATGTGGTAAATGAATATATTGTTGTAATGTAAARATAATGACTAATATAAACTAAGTGCTTTTTTTCATGCAGCACAAACGTGAAAATGGACTTCCYATWTTTGATTTGGAYAAGAGAATTACATCTCTCCTGTCTTCCACTAAAGCATACATTTTCAAGGATGATGACTTTGTGCCTTTGAAGGTGAATGAAAAATGATAGAAGAATAATGAAAATGACTGTTTGATGATAGTTGAAGCCAGTGAACTGCAATTTCCTAGATTTTAATGTCTATGCCATGACYAATATTGTAGGTGGATTATAATAATGAAGATGTGGTTCCAGCAGAGAAGAAATCTAAGSCCCAGGTATGTCCATTCCAACCAATGGATTGCAATTTGTAACTGTGTCAGCAATGATAAACAAATCTGCATTGGAAAAGTATAAAAATCCATTTTGAAGGATTGTTAGTGAGTAAGTTTTCTAATGTTTTTTTTCCCAATTTTAGAGAATAGGCAGCTTATTATCAAGATACAGTCGAGTTCTGGATAGGTTTTTGGTGAGTATAGTTTTTTCCACATTGTTGGGAGGAGTTGGGAACAGTCACCTGGTCAAAGCTGTTAAAGTGGACAACTAAAACTTACAGCCTAATCTACCCCACCACACCCTAAGAAACCACCCCACACTATAAATAATGAATATGTTTCAGAAAATGCCTTATTAATGTTTATTTTGTTGTTATTTATTACGCAGGCTGCCCCTCAGATGYTTAGAAGAAAAGACCAACATCCGGGTACTTTTTTGAATCGCCTTATTGGTGCAGACAGACAGACGCTTCTTCGTCCTATTACCAGTCCCTACACGGCCCGCGTTTTGAAACCATTCATTCGAAGAGACTTTGAAAGTCGACCTCTGAAACTAAGACTGCTGAATGAGGTGGTGGCTTACCAGAAAAGGTTGGTCGTACATATGAGAAAACGTTTATGATAAAATATTGTTGAATCTCTWTAAATTCTCGTCTTTTCATTTCTCCTCATTTTATAATCTGTACATAATTCTCTGCGTTTGAATATAACTGTGCCGAAATAGCTCAGTTGGGAGAGCGTCAGACTGAAGATCTGAAGGTCCCTGGTTCAAACCGGAGAACTCGTAGGAGTTCTGAATAATCCCGGGTTTCGGCATATATTTTTTCTTTTTCATTTTTTGTGGTATTTATTAGATCTTTTACATTTCATCATAGTTGTTTTTTCATATCCTAGAAACATCTAT